CAAAACCGGGTTCATTCCAAAAGGGACCCTACTTATGGCGTCAGCAAGCTAAAACAATTTGACTCACGGACTTTAATAGCCAGGCCACTGGTTTTTTTCGGGGGTCCCCCAAAACGGTTCATTCCAACTCACCTACGTATCGCACCAGCAAGCTTAGGTTTCAGCTGAAGTAACAAGGCTGAAGTAACATGGCCCATGGCGTCTATCAGTAACTCAGGATTAAAAGATCCTGGGGTGCTTGAAAGTCCCTGAACTTTTTCGGATTCCCAAGCAATACTCAATGATGTGCGCATAATGATGCTGACAATGATAACAATGAACAACAATAGTCATGCCGGCAAGTGTTGATCATAATCATAATCCCTCCAACATGGCGCGACGGCTTTCCTTTTGGCTTTCCTTTAAATCAAACAGAAAAGGGTACTCAAAAAACAAAGGACACACCCATTTGCGGTCATAAACTAGGCCTCCTATGTTTCTAGCAAAGCAACTGAAAAGGACACCTATGTTTCCGGTCCTTGGGGGTCAAAGGCCACATTTAAGGTCTTGGGAGATGTCTCTACTCCCAGGCGAAATCCGGCCGTGCTTGGCTGTCTGGGTGAGACTCAACTCTCGCCCACCCAGCATGACTTTTACCTCCCAACACCACCCGTCTTTGCAGGGGCGTTCGCCCCTTCCTGTTTTGGAAACACACATTCGGTTTTTGTTGGCAATCTCTTCCACTTTCCAAAGACAAACCATTCCATACATACTTTCCTGTTGTGTTCGCCTGAAAGGAAACTCCCCAACGCAAGCTTGCCTTGGTGATGCTGTGGATGGACGAAATCCATTTCGCACCACCAAACAAACCCTGGAATGATTCGACTCCTTGTAAACACCAACAAAGGCTATATATATATATGTATATGAGCGACCGGCAAAGCCTCAAAGGAGTTCGCTATATCGTTTCACAGCGCTTTAACAGCATCCGCCTCAGAATCAGTGAGCCCTCTGCGGACTTTGGGCAGATCTGATTGCTTAGGCTGTGGCACAGTGAGCCCTCTGCAGACTTTGGGTGCGTTGAATCGCTGTCACTGTGGCCGACTGCGGAAGTGAACGAGTGGCTGTTTCCTGACGGCCGCAGTTTTTCGGCTGCAGCATGGCAAAAGTCCGTTTCTATCAAGTGTGGCGGCTTGCTTTTGCGATGGTGTTAGTCAGCCTTCGCAACATCGCCAGGTGGCCAGTCTGTTGAGGGTGTTTCATACCTGTTTCAGACCCCCTATTGTTTGTTACATTTTTGTTGGGAATGTAGAAACCAGTCCTGCCAGGAGCATCAGACGCCGCGTGAGAAGTCACTTGTGCTCATGTGCGATACAGGCTGCGCCGCCGATTCTTTGCTTCTCACCTCACTCATAATGCTCAAAAAGGGGGTCTGAAACAGGGCTGAAACACACCGAGCGCGTTGGCAGTCTAAGGTTGTCTGGATGTGGATGGTTGCCCAAGCTCTCATAATTTGCCACAGAATTTTCGTGCAATCTCTTGCAACGAGAAGATTGCTCGTCAATTAAGGCGTCCCCTACCGGCTCAATTTTTCAGTACAAGTGCAGTGCACACAGTACACTTTCCCTCCCAAAGCAGAAGCTTGCAACTTGTCAGTGCAAGAACAGTACGCGAAGGACAGCTTCCCAGCTCGAAAATCGTAACTGTTCAGTACAACTGAAGTACGCGAAATACACTTCCCGCATAGAAGAGAGTCTTGCCAGGAGCATCACATTCCACGTGAGAAGTCACTTGCACTCAGGCAGCACTGCCGAAAAGGTCCTGTGCTTTTAACCGAACCTCCATGCATGACGCTCACGAAACAGGTCTGAAACACACCAAGAGCGTTGGCAGGCTAAGGTTGTCAAGACGGTTGGTTGCCCAAGTCTCACAATTTGCCACATATTTTTTGGATGCGAGGAAATTGAGGTGTCACCTATCGGTTTAACTGTTAAGTACAAGCGCAGTAAATGTTCAACTTTTCAGTACAAGCACAGTACATGAAGCACACTTTCCCAGCTCCAGCTTGAAAAATGGCACCTTTTCAGCACAAGTGCTGTAAGCGCGAATCCAATGCGCGGGTTCCGCGCGCGCGCGGATGCCGCGCGCCCGGCTTCCGCGCGGAATCCGCTCGCGCGCTCGCGCGGGTTCCGCGCGCATGACACCAGTGCAAGATGTCCTTTTACACTTGTGATTCATGGGCTTCTGCCCTCAGAATCCCAGCTAGAAGCTGTATCTAGCATTTGGCCACCCCTGAGGCCTTATCGTTTTTGGGGGTTCACTATATCGTTTCCCCGGCGATTCTACACTTCTGGAATCAAACTGCGCCCGATTGCTACCCTGTTCGACGGAGAGTATTGCCTCTTGCTCATGTGTTCTTCTGCTTTCACAGTGGCACTTTCAGCGGGACCACGTCGGCTCCACCTCCCAGTTTGGCCATGAGTTGGGCCAACTCCACAACTCATTCAAGAGAGTTGAAAGGATACATTCGCCAGCTGTTCTAGGTCCTCCAGTAGAGAAGTTAGAATAAGGGTACCGTTTCTGATTTCTGTAGCCTATTTTAGTAGGGGAACCCTCCCCAAAAAAAGAGTGAAAGGGAACTACTGGGGGACCTAGTGTTTCACAGGGGTGAATCTGCGGGCATCCTTTAAGGGCCAGTTGTTGCTTTTTTCTCCCCCCCCCCCCCGCCGGTTTGCCCGCTACGTGCCAAAGATACAAGGCTCTGGAAAAAACAAATGCAACCCAATTCACCATGCTTTTATTGGTTTCCTTTTCGGGACATCAGACTTGGTTGCTGTTGCCCCCTCTGCTAACCGTTTTCAACTTGTGTGGGTCCAATGGAAAATCCTGTTTCCCGAGAAGTCAAAAGTCCAAATATCCAACCAGATAGCTAGAAGGACTTTATCTTTTAGTGGGTTAAATGGAAACCCCACTAAGCCCACTAAAAAGATCTAAACACCTACCAGCAGGGCTGGGAACCACCAAGACAAGGGTGTGTGTGTGTGTGTGTGTCAAAATGAGAAGAAACCCCAACAAGTGTGGTTTAGGTCCTTTCAATCCAACCAACGGGTAATGTTTCCCCAATACTAGTCAACCCCGGTTGATTAATAGGGGGGTGTCCCTGGATTTAGTAGGGAATCATCACTTTTGGAGGGGCCCACCCCTCTATTAATAAACTGGAGTTGATTAATATGGGGGAAGTCTAGGGAGGTTCGAATAAGGGCACCTTTTTTTCTGTAGTCTGTTTTAGTAGGGAACCCTCACCCAAAAAAGTGGGTAAAAGGCTTCCCTTCAATCCAACCAACGGGTACCTAGCCTGTGACCTGGCCATGGGTCAAAAGCCCGTACCCCCCATTGAACATCCCAATACCCACTAAAATAGGTTCTACAATGGGTGAATTCACCTACCAAAACCAAAATGGGATCAACCACAATGGTTTTGACAACCACAGCCACATCAAGCTTTCTGGTCCAGACTCGGAACCCCAGCCCCAGCCGCCTTGAGCCCATTCAGCGCCGAGCTTTGGCCCTGAAGCCCCACGAGACGCACCTTCGGCGAGAGTTCGTGCAGGGGTCGACAGGTTTTTGTCCGCCAACGCCATGACCTTGAACGTGAAGACCATCCATGCATTCCAACCACCAACAGCACTTGCTGCTGGTGGAATGCACTGCACATAGTACTGGACATTGGTCTTGAACTAGTCGTGATTCTGCCCTGTTTGTGTCCCATCTTTTTGGGGGGCTTGGAAGAGGAAAACCAAAGAACCAAAGGTTCCCTCAAAAGACAAGTCACAGAACGGGTCCAGCAAGAAATGCATCTCCATGTTGAAAAGTCGACTCGTGTGTCGTTTTCAACCCCCCCAATGGTGGTTTTCTTGTGGTTTCTCCAACAAGGGGTACCCTCAAGAACGATACACCCATATTTTTCATTGGACCCACATCCGAGATAGGGATCTATGCCGCCAGTAACCTAGGTCCTCCAGTAGAGAGGATAGAATAAGGGTACCAACTTTTTCTGTAGTCTATTTTAGTAGGGGAACCTTCCCCAAAAAGGGGTAAAAGGGCACTACTGTCGACCTATGATTAAAAAACCTTCCCCGATTAAAGTTATTTTGTGGGCCGGCACTGATTAATAACCCCCCCCGACATAATATGTGTTTTTTGTTCTTTTTGTTTTTCTCCGGGGAATCCACACACACTCACAAAAAACACCTTAAACAACACACACACACACACACCCACTAGCATCATCTCAACCTCTTCCACTTGGTCAGTATCTGCCTCGCCTGCCTTAAAAATTCGGATCTACAAAAAATACTAGCTCCCAAACTGCAAATTCTTTACATACTCTTGTTTTAAAAAGCGGCCCCCAATCAACCCTACAAGGGGGGTAGTACTTGGGGGTTGAACAAGACATTCCTCAGCAATACTAAACCAATTGTAAACTCAAATCCCTCAAGTCAAATCTCAAAAGGAGGCTCCAGCAATACGAAGTCAATTGAAAACTCAAATTCACCAATACTAAGCCAATTGGAAACCCGAACCCAATCTCAAAAGGAAGCTCCAGCAATACTAAATCGATTGAAACACAACAAATCTGTGAGCAATACTTAGCAATTCGTAATCAAGTTGCAAGAACTATTTGGGGAGGGAAGTTGTTTGAGGGGGGGGGGGTGTTTATTAATCAGAGGTAGACATTACTGGGAGACCCAGTAGCGGGCGAATGGCACCTCACTTTTTGCCGCCTCTCGCGCCTGCTTCGGGCTGATCGCGCCGGTGCGATTTCGCCGGGCCGCCGAAAAGAAAGCTGAAATTCATTGCAGGAAGATGCACTCTAATGAACATGTTTTCAAAAAGGACACACCATAAACAGTTTTTACGCCACACAACAAGTGCGCAAATTTCGCGCTTTTGGTCAGTAAGATTCATAGCCAAATTGGCCTCGTTTTCCGGGTTTGGCTTTTGACATGCTCTTGCGCCTCTCAGAAGTGGAAGGCCAGCAGCGCAGCGGCGAAGGCGGCGAAGGGCGCGTGGAGTGCGCTTGCAGCGCTCCACTTCTCGACCTTCTCCTCCACGCGCTTCAAGTCCGTGTTCAGGCCGTTGAGCTTTGCCTCAGTGAGCTGCTCTTCTTGGGGCTTCCCAAATGGAAGCTGTGTGGAGGTTTTTGTGGAAGAAAAAAACGTGGAATCTACGGGGGCTCCAAACTTCCCGGGAGTCTCCTCTTGCTGTTCCTGACTGGGTCCCTCCAGTAGAGAGGTTCGAATAAGGGTACCAACTTTTTCTGTAGTCTATTTAGTAGGGGAACCCTCCCCCAAACAAGGGTAAAAGGATGTAAAAGGGCACTACCGGAGGACCTAGGTGAGGCTTTTTTTGGGGCTCCCAAATGGATTTTTGTTGAGGTTCCCCTGGAAATCACGTGGAATCTAAAGGGGGCTCCAAACTTCCCGGGAGTCTCCTCTTGCTTTTCCTGGGCTCCATGGTATAATTTGCAGGAGAGCAAACCAAAACAGAGGAAAGCAAAGGTCAACACCTCAGCAAAACGGGTCGAAAAAGCCAACCGATTCCTGCGAAGTGGCAATCGCGGCCTGCAGGGCCTTGTCGTCCCCCGACAGCTTGTCCTGCATATCCTTCTTCTTCTGCGCGGCGTTCTCCAGCTCGTCGCCCTTCTTGGCCTCCTCGTGAAATCGGAAAAGAAAAACAACCAGGCTGTGATACCACAAAGGGCACACCACAAAGCACACACCAAAAAGTCACCAACCGGTTTATAGGGTATTGAACCAAATAATGTCAAAGGGGTCTATATTTGGCACTCCTGCAGCTGGGCAGTTTCCGAAAAGCAGGGCTGTCAGCAACATATCGCAGGAGGAGTCTGTGATACCACAAAGGGCACACCACCAAGACACACACACACCATACAAACTCCCAATTTTGGAGTCTCCTAAAAAAGACACCCTTGTTGTTCAGAGCATCAATGGGGCCACGACTATTCCCACCAACATCAAGTGAGCAGAACAGGTTACTTCACTTGCTTGTGCTTCGAACCAGCACCCTTCTGATGCTTCAGAATCCCAACCCCCACTCAAATAGACTAAACTGGGTGGTGCACCTACCCCAAAATGGGATCCCAAAACGGCTTTGACCACCACAGCCATACCACAGTGGGGCTGTTCACCCCTTGCCATGTGGCCTTTTGGAAAAACATATGGATTTCCCTGGTACATGAGTAATTCACCAACCATCTAAACCAGGAATTTCCTCTATCTTTTTTAAGCAAACCAACAAAAAAACAACACACCTATGCCCCTCGCGATGCTTCTTGCATCACACCACAGCGCTCCTCATCCTCCTTGGTCCTGGCATGATCCTTCAGCTCCGGGGTCTTGGAGAGGAGGATGCCCAGCTGGTACTCCGCAGCGTTGTACTTGGGCTCCTCGGAAACGTTTTCCGCCCGAAACGTGACGAACTTTTAGTGGTTCAATACGGAAAAACCCCTTCGTTGGCAAAAAGCTAAAGTCATAGGTGTCCTTTTTTAGGGGAAGTAGATGGCCCTGGTAGATGAAACCACCAGGTAAACCAGGGCTCAGTTCAGTGACCCTGGGAAAAAAGGGGAACCGTCTTTTTGGGGCTTGGACCAGGGGCCACCCCAAAAACCGGGGAAACAGGGGGGCCACTGAACTGAGTTCAGAGCGTTTCATCGCCCGCTTCTTTGATCCGCGGGCTTCTACGGCCCGCAGAAATGCAGCCGGAGACATTTCTACTTTTGGTGGTTCAAATACGGAAAACCAGTGGAAAAAGCACCTACTTTAGCACCTTTAGTGGTTTTTTTCTCCGAAAAAAATGGTCCTGAAGTCCTAACTTTTTTCTGGGCAAAATGCAGCAAAGGCTCCATCTGCTCCAAGGTCTTCTTCGCGTCGTCGGTCTTCTTCTTCAAGTCGTCCCGGTGCTTCTTGGCCACGGCCACGGCGACCAGGTGAGCCTTGTAGGCATCCTCCGCCCGCTTGGACTCCTGATGCGCCTTGTCCTGGGCCCGAACTATCTGTTAAGCGAACAGCGACGAAAAGTTGGTGGGCTAAATGGCAACTATGATAGGGGTTAAATGGAAGTCTAACTTTTATAACTAAATTTAGTGGGTTAAATTCGGAAACTATCACTAAACACGCCAAAAGTTGAGAACTTTGGGTGAATTTCGGAAGCTATCACTGAACACAAAAAGGATCTAAAAAGCAAAGGAATCGGATTGCTGGGAGCCACCAAGTGTCATAGAGCTCCCCCGCGGCCGCTACCTCCATGGCCTGCTTGTCCACCTCCTCCTGATTCCTAGGCTGGAATTAGGTCCCCAGCAAAAAAAACCTTTTCTGCCAGGAGAGTGGAAAACAAAGCAGGGATCCTTACATTATACACCTGAGCATTGCCTTGCAAATGGCGGGTTCCTTTTATCTTGGTGTTGAAAAAGCAACATGCTTCAAATGGTTGCAACATGGAGATCTTTTAAGGAGCTCTGCAAAGGGACCCCCAAACAAAAAAAATACACACACAAAAGGGGGACAAATTCTAGGGAAGACTTCCGGGACAAATCCGCGGAGGTGTGCGCCACGATGTCCGCCTGGCCGTGCACATAGCCTCAGTTCAGTGACCCTGGGAAAAAAAGGGCACCCTTTTTGGGGCTTGGACCAAATTTTTAGTGGGGCCACCAAACAATGAACAAAATTTAATTGGTTCCACATATCATATATATATATAAACAGAAAGAGTTCAAAAAATGGGTGCCACTGAACAACTGAGTAGCGGGTGAGGTTGCCGTGCTGGTCGTTGAGCGCCTTGAGCCGCGGGTCGGTGCCCTTCACCGACACGCTCTCGCTGTGGTTCTTCAATGCAGTGCTCGGCTTCTCCACCTTGGTTGCTGCTGTTGACCCACCTGCAAAAAGGTTTTCTTTTTTTCTTTTTTACTTTTTGGGGGTTTAGTGGAAAACCCAACTTGATTTCGACCAAAAAGCTAAAGTCTAAAGATCCAACCCAATAGCAGTCAAGCCACTTGCAAAAGAGAGCTTCGCTTGGTGAGGTTGGACTTGTTGAGAAGCTCGTCCAAGGTCTTCTCCACCTGGCCATGGGTCAAGGGCCAAATCGTACCACCAGTGAACATCCCAATCTCCAGTAAAATAGGTTCTACAATGGGTGGTGAATTCACCTACCCCAACATGGGATCCCAAAACGGTATTGACCACCACAGCCACCTCAGCACGCTCATCCTTCGAGAGGTTGGCGGACTTCAGCGCCTGCTCCACCTCCGGGTCGTACTTCTGCCCCTTCTTCCAGAAGGGCTTCTCATCGGCAACCTCCACAGCGCCATGTCCATCAACCATCGAGTTGACCTCCATCTGCTCGGCCTCCAAAAGCTTCTCATGGACTGCCTCGCCCAGACAACTGGCCACCAAAGACAGCAACATCGCCTTCATCGCCATCACTATGTTGGAAGATATGAACGTGCACACTGAGGTTCTTCAGCGCACGCGCTAGAGCCAAGCAGTGTCGGTAGGCGCAGAGTGGAGAACAGCGCATATCGCCCCTTTTTGGGAACCTTTTTCCGACGCTGTCCAGAGTACGTTGCCTCAAAAGTGGGGCCCCAAAAAAGGTTCTACCTTCAATTGGAAGTTCCAAACCTGCAAAGACTGAAAGACCTCATGTGCGAAGGGAAGAGTGGGCAAGTCGGTCCCGAATCTAAAGGGTTGGTGCCAGAACAGTAGCGGCTGAAAGCGACATCGAAGTCGTGCTGCATCCCGCTGCGGCAACCAATCCTCTCCAGGGCCAATATAATAAGTTCTTTAGGCAATATATGGGGGCTGTCCTATATTCCTTTGCCCGGGATTGGGTCCTTGGGCCGCACTTGCGCGACACTTGCGCGGACTTGCGCGCGCACACTGGCGCAGAAGCTCGTTTTCGTTGACCTCGGTTTGCGAAGTTTTCGTGTGGATTGCGCGCAAGCTTTTCTAAGCAGTGTGTTCGTCGTTCACGCAGCAACCCACAAAGACTCTTCCCGCTGAGGTCGCTCCTGGCAATTCTAGGCCAGCAACACACCCTTGACCCAACAGAAAGGACAGCAGGCTCTGCCACACAGCTTGGGCACAGCCTGAAAGAAGGAAAGTGCATGTTGCGGCTGCCTGTCCATTGCTTGAACCGCGCCGCTAAGGACATCCAAGACAGCATGGCTAGATGTCTTGCTGGAGCTTCTCGTGCTTGCGCGCAACTTGCGCGCCGCTTGCGCGCGGCTTGCGCGGATTTTGTCGTGTCAGCTGCCAGTTGCTGATTGTTGAAGTCATGACCGCAGAAGCTTTGCCTTCGTTTGGCGCCTGACTGAAGAAAACGCTTCACCTTTGCAAACAAGCTTGTGACCTACACATGACCCAAGCAACATTCGAAAAGCATAAGTACAGCAAGAAGATATCACCTCCTTTCATGAAGCTAGGCAACATCAGCACACGAAACCCGCCAAAACTGTAACCTTGCGCGTCCCTTGGGCCGCACTTGCGCGCTCCTTGCGCGCGCACAGCTTTTGACAACTTTTACTTCTCCCCGTTCGGCGATAATTAAAACCGAAGACTGGGGTTTTAGGACGGCCCTCATATAGAGGACCCATCGGGTTTTGGTGTCCGTCGGCGAAATGCACATCATGCGTAGCTAGCCGCAGCTCAATCGAACTGCGATAGATGACCTGTTTGTTGCTACATAGCAAGATGATCTCTGGATGTTCCAGACGTACGTTTAATTTACATTTCGCCTTTTGGTGCCAAAAGGTGATCACCTTGTATTTCTGGATCCCTCAGGGGCAAGTGCGAGATGTGAACCCCGGAGCAAGTAGAACCCCTGGTTGATTTTGGTTGGGGGGTGTCCCATTTTAGTGGGGATTCAAACAACTTTTGGAGGAAGACGCACACCCAAACAATAGGACCAGGTCTATGAATTCGGGGAAACCAGAGTTCGCGTTTCTCAAAGTCCCCGAACTGGCTGGGTTTAAGGGACGAGCAAACGAGCAGGGGATGACCGTTTCCGCACTTGCCAACGGCAAACGAGCATTTTGTTCTTTTGAACAGGTCACTGGCTGCACGTGAAGCACCGAGCCTTTGAGCAGAGCCAATCTGGGCGGGGGGGGCCGGGGGAGATAAAGCCAGCGATACCAGAACTTGATGGACTAAAAATGACCAAAACAGGGAAACCAAAGGCGGAAACCAAAGGCGGAAGGGCCAACTCGCTTTGGGCAGCTGAGTACTGGGCTGCCCTCAAATGCCCTGCTTCAATTGACTAACTTTTAGTGGGTTAAATGGAAACTGCCACTAAACACTAAAAGGATCTAAAAAGCTAAAAAGCTAAGGGGGATGGGCTGGGAGCCACCAAGGAAGCCAAAAAGGTCGATTCGCTTTGGCTTCAGACAAGCTCCGCTTGGATGGCCTGTGAGCTCTCCGGACCCGAGCCCCGGCCTGGGTTCCTGGAGCTGGCGCCTGCGTTGGGACCTGACGCACCCTCGAACTACCCTTCCAAAAGGGGATGGACATGATCCCATCATTCTATGGGCTGATTCCTAGTTTTTTTCTGGGTCTCCGGAGGTTTTCCGGAAAGAAGGATTCCTGGAAAGAATGGGGAAGGTATCATTAGAATCATCTTTGTTTTGGGAGGCAATCACCCATTTGCAAAGGAATTGCTTTGGAGGGTTCACCAAACTTCTTGTTTACCACTGAAAAGTGGTCACCCAGGAAGCTCACTTCCTGCGTGGACTCACCGACAAAAGTCTAAGCTTTTTGCGTGCCACTAAAATGGTCAACCAACCCCCCAAAAAGTGATACCAAAGTCCATCAACTCGGGGAGTGAGAAAGTGAGAGTCCGAAACGGAACGCAGTAAGACCATGGTATTTTCGGCTGGTTGATTTTAAAGGGACACCCCTTAGGCCAAAAGGCACGGAGCTGGGAACGAAATCTCAAGGACCTCAAAGAGTTGGGCCCGGCAAACTTCTCAGGTCCTTATATACCCGAATCTGGAGCCCAAGCAAAACTTTGCACTGCCTTGAATGGTCTCGTTTTTTTGCTTGAGGGGCTGACTGCGAATTCATGCAGGCGCCTCATGTCATGGCAAGCCGAAGCCGAAGCACAGAGAGCTAGTTTTTTTGTTGTTGCTTTTTTTAATCGGGACTCGAAGCCCTTAGGCCACAAGCAGGGCGCTCGGAATTGGGATACGGATCTCTAGTCGACCTCCCAGGTCCTGGCCCGAAATTTGGAGCCCAGCAAGGACTTTGGACAGTGCTTCAATGGCTTGGTCTTTTGCTTGGGTGCAAAAGGTCCCCTTTGGTAAATGTTCCCCCCTTTGTTTGCCCATAACTTGGGTGCAGGTTCCCTTTTCTGGTTGGTATTCCCTTCCGGTTGGTTTTAAAGGGACGCCAAGAAGGAAAAACCCTCAAGGCGCATAATGGCATGCCAAGACAAAACACATCGGCGTCTGGGATCTTCTCAAAAGAAACCAACCCGGGGTCCAAGTCCTGTGTTCGGCGTGCTACATCGCCACAATCCGCCGGAAGGCTATCCGGCTAGGACTGTCGACCCATTCAGGTGGTTGTTCTTTCAGGGATTCGGCATCGATCGGGTTTTCCTGCGAGCACCGAAAATGATCTCACGCCGGGGACCTGCCATTGTTTCCGCCTCTGCCCAAAAACCCGACCAAGTAAACCTTTCCTAGGACCAGTCACAAGCCTCCCAGAAAGTCAGTTTGGTACCCCATGTTTGGTGGTTTAAGAAGGGGAATCCAACAGGAAAACCACCATTCTGGGGGTCTCCCAGAAACCACACACCCATATGCAACGGGCAGAACTGATCAGTTCAGGATGTCACTTCTACTTAAAGAAAGAAACTTGGTTTTGCCAAGTCTAAACTTAGTTTTGCCAAGTCAAACTCTCGGATTCCCTGTACTTGATGTAGCATTGACAAGTCAAAGTTTAGCAATATGCCAAGGCTTACTCGCAGCTGTCCAGTACTTGATTTAGTAATTATCGCGAGCGTAGGATGAACCACCCTTCACAAGTGAAAGGCTAGAACATGTCTCCACCCCACACAGAAAAAAAGAAAAAGAACAAAACACAAAAAAACAGAGCTGGACATTCGGGCAAACCATGGTACAGTCAGACTAAATCAGAGCCTCTTGTGGGCAACCCCCTTGGTGCGATCGATCAGCCTTACTTTTCTCCAACAGAGAAGTTATCTTTTGCACCAAACATGGGGTACCAAACTGACAGCCCGTTGCATATGGGTGTGTGGTTTTTGGGGGACCCCCAGAATGGTGGTTTTCCTGTTAACCCCTTCTTATCTTTTTCATGCTTTGCTTTGGGGACCAAAATTGATGTTAGAGGCCTTTAAGCCTTTGAGCTGGGAAGAGCTTGGGATGAACCACCCTTCAAAAGCAAAATAAGTGTTGATCTGGGAAATCCCCCCAACAGAAACAAACAAACAAACAAACAAACAAACAAGCAAGCAAGCAAACAAACACGAAAGCTGGACATTAAAGCGAACAACGAAGCAGTCAGATTAAACAGAATCAGGGCCTCACAACCCTTTGCGTCACTGTTTGGTTGTGTTTTGAACACAGGGAGTTACAAACAAATCGATGGTTTGGGGGCCACTTCAAAAACCAACGTTCCCGATTGTTGCCCGGATTCTGTTGCCCCCATTTGCGCCCGGTTGTTTGACCGATTTTGTTAGCCCGTTTGTTTGCAAAGCGAACCTCGAACAGTCACAGGATTCTTTAATTGAGAAACACACTTTGTAAAAAACCGACCCCGCACAAAAGCTGGTCCGACAATAATTGGGCTGAACATCAAGTGTGTGTGGGAGGGGTGGGGGGGGCAACCCGACTAGTTTGTTTCCCTGGGAAGGAAGCTTGTGTGTTTCACTGTCCAAGAACAGAGGAAATCGACTTGCGGCAGTTGGGCCTTCTTCATGTCACCGGCCCCTCGGCTCTCGTAGGGCCGGTCGTAATGGATGCACCTCGCGAAAGAAAGCTGTGTCTTTCTGAAGAGTGTTTTTAGTTGTGGGCTTATTTCACAGGAAAGCAAAAGGAAGCCCCGCATTTTGGGGAAAGCACCATGTTGAGACAAACCCTGGGTATGAATTCGTGACCATTTGGTGGACATTAGAAACATGGATATTTCGTCCGAGGGCCGAGGGTGTTTCCAAAGAAAACTCAGAGTCAAATGGCGGTTCTGGCCCTGTTTGACGGCACCAACTGCTTCAAGGTTCAGGAAAGGGGTCGATCGGTCTGGATAATTTTGGCATGCAGTGCAATGGAGAACCTGGTTACTTGGCTGCCCTCGGATCCCCCGCTAACAGTTTAGTGGGTTGAATAGAAACTACCAGGGAGCGCCCCAACGCCAGCAGCATCCTGAACGCTGAGAAGAGCCCTTCCAGCCCCATTTGCAGGCCAGGCGGG